ACCACCACTACCATCACCACCACCACCACCGTCACCACCACGACTACCATCACCACCACTACCATCACCATCATCACCACCATCACCACCACGACTACCATCACCACCACTACCATCACCACCACTACCATCACCATCATCACCATCACCACCACTACCATCACCACCACTACCATCACCACCACCACCACCGTCACCACCACGACTACCATCACCACCACCACCATCACCACCACTACCATCACCATCATCACCACCATCACCACCACGACTACCATCACCACCACCACCATCACCACCACTACCATCACCATCATCACCACCATCACCACCACCACTACCATCACCACCACTACCATCACCACCATCACCACCAGTACCATCACCATCACCATCATCACCACCACCACTACCATCACCTACCATCACCACCACCATCACCGTCACCAGCACTACCACTGTCACCACCACCACCACTATCAACACCACCATCACTACCACTGTCCTCACCACCACCATCATCACCATCATGGTGGCTAACGCTGCTGAATGGTCACCATGTGACAGGTATTCACCAGCACCTTAATGCATTGTAACATTTGATCCTCACGGCAAGTTAAGTTATAGGCGACGTCATCTCCACTTTTCAAATGAGGGACCTGGGGCTCAGAGAAGTTCACTTACGGGTTACACAGCTAATAAATGGCACAGCTGGGAAGCTGGTATAGGTAAGAACTCTGCTTTTACACACTCCCACACACTCCAGAACATTAAGTCCCCCTCACCTGCAACCCCAGTTCCTCCCCAGCATGGGATCCCAGCTTGGGCCATCACAGACATAGCCCTAAACCAGGAGTGCTGAGGAGCCCATGTGTGGGAGAAGCACGTACCTGTACGTGCAGGCTAGAATTCCTTGATGGCCCGAACTAGGGTGTGAATCCTGAGAGGTGATTCATTCATAAGGACAATACAGCACAGACAGCCCCCTCTTTTGAGATGAAAACCAGTGTGGCCTCTCCTGGGTCAGTGTCCTGACTTGAGGGGGGCTGCAGGGTCGCCCTGTCTCTGGGCAAGTTCCAGACTTCTCCAGGGTGGTCTTCAGGCTGTGAAGCCTGCTGCAGCTCCGCGTATTACAGAGCACGAGTTCACCGGTTGCCTGGCTGTGACTGTGCCTGTCTTCACTCAGCTCTCCTGAGCCAGAGTCGTGTTGGATTGTTGTCTGACTTCATTAACTGAGTCAGGTCTACGTGGTGTGACTCTGAGTTGGATCCAGTATGTGAGCAGAGACAAAAACCAGAAAAGACCCAGGGAAGCTCCTCCACCCCCAGGGAATATTCTTCAGGTTAAATACACTACAGTGAAAATTTCTGACCATTTGACTTTATGTAGATTAGGAGTTTTCAGTCAAAGATTTGCTACATGTTCCCTCTCTTTACTCTCTTCTTCCCTTAGATTTGTCTGGCTCTGACCATCCTCGATAAGCATCTCGACAAGTTATGACCTTATCATGTCCCATCTACTTGCCTTTCTTAAGAACCTGTGGTGGAAGGCAAGGAGTTGAGTCAGTGGTGGTCATTGCTAAAAATAAAAAATAAATTCTCTTCCACCCTCCCTTTTTCCTTCCTGCCATACGCATAGCTGTGGCCTAGTCAGCTGTGTCAGTGCTTTATTAAGGCTCTAATCAACAACAAAGATCACATCAGCTACCTTGCTTAGTGGCATGAGAAAGGACTGTGGCATCTGTCAGATCTGAGCCTGAATCCTGCCTTTGTCATTTACTGTGTGACCTTGAGAAAAGTATTTAACTCATAAAAATGATAGTGAGGATTAAATGAGATAATGGGCTGGGTGTGGGCATCCAGTTAAAAGGAGTCATTGCTGTTAGCATGACCTCATTGGCTATCCTGGCAAGACTGAAATCTGTCAACAGGCAGGCTCTCTTGCTACAAACATTGGAAATTGTGGGTCCACTTCTCCTGCACCCGGAGCAGCCCCAAGAGTAAATGGGTTTCTCCACCTAACTTGGGATTCTCTCCCACTGATTTGTGTTATTCTTTTCCCCACTTGTCACTGGCTTTGGGCCACACTTTTTTGCTGCCAGTTACATCACCTATAGTCCCACCCCTGCTCCCAGAGAAAGGTCTCGATAGCCACTTTTCCTGACTTTGCAAACACTATTGATTACTCAGAATCCAGTTGAAAATCAAGGCCAGCAGTTTCCACTGGAAAACATGGGATTGAATCATCTTTGGAAAAGTGAGTAAAAGAACCTTTGTTTTCACAAAACTTAGGGCCTTTGTTTGGGACCCCTTAACACATGGGAATTTGTCCCACTTGAAGGGCCCTAGTTGGTGTCACCTATCAAAGTGACTCAGGAGAGGGTTGAGCATGCATTTAGATTGATGAGGCATGGTCTGTTGGATTGACCATTCATGACTGATCTGCTCCGGGGGCCAGTCATCTCCCCAGCTTACTGTTCTAGGAAGAAATGCATTTCTCTGCACGCCTGCAAGGTAGGCAGCCAGCCCTACAAGAGTTCATCTGCAAATTCATTGCTTTACATGTGTCTGTTGAAAGACCTATATTTTTTTTATTTACTATTCAAAGTAATACATCACTATGAAGATCAGATTCCGTGAGAATCTCTGAATTCGCTATTAGGGTAGTGGCTTCCATTTATGGGCCATCTAGTGTGTTCTGAGCAAGGTATAAAATGCTTTAGTTTCAAAATACCAATTCTAAGGAAGCTCTGGCAAACATTTCAACCAGCCTCAAAGCTTCAGGACAAAGTAGTTTATATCAGGGCGCCTGGGTGGCTCAGTCAGTTAAGCGTCTGCCTTCGGCTCAGGTCATGATCCCAGGACCGGTCCTGGGATCGAGCCCCGCATCAGGCTTCCGGCTCAGCGGGAAGCCTGCTTCTCCCTCTCCCTCTGTCTGCTGCTCCCCC